ATATATTCAATAAACAATGTGCAGATACATTATAAAAATTATATATGTCATTGTTATGTGCCTTCCAGTTGGTTCTTACTCAGCAACCTTGTATAGTTCTTCCGAGGAGTGGCTGGTGAGTTTGAACCGCCAACCTTGTGGTTCAAACTGACCTTGTGGTTCAGTGCTGATCCTGCAGCACCACATCAGGTCTCCTAATCATATACATAACATATAAAGTATGAAATACAAATAAAATATTCTGAAGCAATAATTCATACAAAATTATGGAAGCTCAATTTTGTAGTTGCTGTTAAGTGCCGTTGAGTCAGTTTAGACTCATAGAGACCCTGTATAGAGTTTCTGAAGAGCGGCTAGTGAGTTTCAACTGCCAATCTAAGGTTCAAATTTTGAGAAAGATTTTCATTAGATAGTTCTAAGTTATTTTATGGGAAATACATGTAAAAAGAGGGGTGTGAGGCTGCATCTGACTTCTTCTAAGTGCACAAGGGAGAAGGAGAATCAAATTCAAAAATCAACCCAAAGCCAATTTCTGTAAGGTTGAGGTCAGGCATGCCCCCAGCCTCCAACCTTCCTTCCCAATCCTGACACCACGTGTCCCCTCCCACAACACTATCTACATCTCTGCTGGGTTTGGTAATTTATCGTAATGGCCACACAGAACCCAGCCAATCCTCATGATTATGGGGTTAGGGAAGTTAGCAAGTTGCAATTCAGGATCCCAAATGCTAAAAACATAGTTCTTCCTGTGAGGACGGCCTCTTCTTAGCTGTGTCTCCAGGCAGATGTTGACCATTGGATTCCTGCTAGCCTGGCCTCTGCCCTGTTAAGGCAATGTTTCAAAGCTCTTTCATGGCTGTTGATAAATGTCCAAAGGCATTCCAATCTGCTATAAGCCTCATCCCATAGCCACTCAGCTCTAGCTCCATGAGTCAATAAATCCAGCTCCCCAACTGGAGGCACCCCACTCCATTAATAAGCCTCCTGACCAAAGGCATTCAGCTTTACTTGTTCTGTGACTTACTCCTATGTCTTATGCTCTGCCTTTTGGTTCTGCTCCTGCTGTTCCCATAGTGCTCCTCCGTGGCTTCCCTGGTGTCACTCTTGCCCTGGGTTTTAGAAGTTCAATGTGCAGGAATCTTGGTGTCCAAAGGACACGCTCCACCCCAGCTCTTCTTTCTTGCTGGTAGTGAATACAACTCCCTTCTTGCTTCTAAGATGGTTCATTTTGACCCACATTACAGTTCCAAATTTTTGCAATCACAATTTACCTTGTTAGCAATTACTGATATCATGCTATCAGAATCTTTCTTTACATTCTCTTACCCAGATCCATCAGGAAAAACAGATGTTTCATGGGAATGATAAGAACTATGGGTAAAAGAGACATATGAAGTGACTCACTGCACAGTGTCATGCTTCTATTCTCTTTACAATAAAGAAGCCCACCAAGAATTAACACTGTTGTTCTTTACGTCCATCTGTTTAATGCACATCCTTAATGGCTCTAATATAGTGGCATAAAAAGTCCTCTAACATTGCAAGAAAAATCACCAACATTAGCCCAAAGTTGATTCCAACAGTTGGAGATCAGGCATACCTCCGCTCTTGAACATTTCTACCAATTCTGACAGTAGCCATCTTCCCCACAGTACTTTACTTCTCCGCTGAGTTTGAGAGCTCATTGTCATTATCTCACAGAACTTACAGGTCATATTCACAATTATATGGGCCATTAGAGTAGTCTCAGTTTACAATTAGAGACCAGGATAAACTTGGGAGCAAAAGGAACAACTCAGGAGTCAGGATAAAGCTCGTTAATCAGAACAGCTCTCAACCAAAACAGCTTCCAACTCTTTCTTGTCCTTGTCCTTTG